CGAAGTTCCTTGATCGTAGGAGGTTCTAGCTTTAATTAAGTAACCTAGACCCATAAAGACAAATGCCATGGGCCCCTTCCTATGTGCATCCTGGATTTAAACATTTGTAGCTATTTGTGTGCGTGGGGGTGATATAGTTAGAAAGGAAACTATACAAGGGAGGAGTCATACACGACAGCACACACACAGCACATACCAGAGATAGCACTGAGAACTGCATAGCTGTACAGTGACCAGGAGCAGATAATCTCACTATTTTGACATACGAGGCCTTAGAAACACGTCACACTAGGATGAGGACATCCTAGTCTTCAGTATTTTTCAACAGATTCCCTTGGTTGTCTTGCCAGTGGAGCCCCTAGTCACAGTTTGGATTCTCTCCAACTCGCATCAAGTTAAAAATAACTTTCTAAGTAGCTCCTTAGATAGCCTCATTAAACCACTCCTGAGAACAGATGGCCTTAGTCCTATTGTCTGAAGAAACGTCTTCACTTTTCATTGCTTTAGGCTCCAGAATCATGTTTTCTTTTTTAATTTAAAGTGTTTCTTCTGATATCTGTCAATACAAAACACAGATCTCGTGTCAAAGGGGATAAGAGGTAGCTACCACGAATGACCATAGTAATATAGATTCAAGGTGCCCTGAATAAAATGTCCCACTATGAAAGACATTAAAGGAGAGCTTATTTAATACAGAACCAATAAAGTCATAAATCAAGGCATTTCCCTAATACCGTAAGTAAGCAGGCTGTAGAGAAACTGAGAAAACTCTTCTGTGACTTTCAGATGCTATCATGTGGCTTTCTTGGCAACTGGATAGATGGAAGCAGGAGTCTGCTAAAAATATGTTGAAGTTTTGATAATCAAAGGGAAACAGGGCTGGTCAATGACTGGCTATTAAAGGGACTAAAAAGAGCCCATGATAACTTGTCTCCAGGTCATTGACAGTCTCCCACAGCCACAAAGTTTGGTCTGAAACATGGGTATAGTATCTTTTTTTCTGGAAACTTCAGCTTACATCTATAAACACAAAACACTAGCAAACTTTATTGTGCCAAATCATGAGGAAAATACTTCACTTTATGAGTTGCCTTAAGAAAAAAGTTTTCATAATCTCAGGGATGATAAAAATATGACCAACAGAACATTGATTTTAAAAACATGCAAACATAGATGTATCAGCCTTACTTTTAAAAGGCAAATAGAGGAACAGTCCAAAGCTCCATCAAAGATACATGGCCACTTCCTACACAGTGAGAAAGAATAAACTGCCATCGTATATGCAACAGGGGTGGGATCAAGGAAGAAGCAAACCTCAGGATATGACTTACCCTGAGGGGGTGGTTAGGAAGTAGCATGAGGAAGCCTCAGGGGCATCAGAAATTCTTTCCCATCTGTAGCTTGGCGGTATTTACACAAGCCAACCCCTCCACGGTCTGTTTCCCTCCAGAGTCGCCACATAACCCATTGTATCTCATCCTGAGAGCACATCTGTTTCATTCTCTCTCTTTCTGTGATAAACACCATGATCCAAAGCAGTTTGTGGAGAACAGGGCTTATTTCAGTGTATGCCTCCAGATAACCGCTGGTCCCTGAGGGAAGTCAGGGGAGTAGCTCAAGGCAGGAGCCTGGCAGCAGGAACTGAAGCAGAAATCATGGAGGCATGCTGCTTGCTGGCTCCCTCGCTCTCTGGCTTGTTTTTTCTTATTTTCTTAGATAGCTCAGCTCTAAGCTGTGGACGAAGCCATCCCACATCTATCATCAACCAAAACAATTCCTCCAAGACACCGTCACAGGCCAATCTGACTGAAGCAATTCTTCAGTTGAGGTTCCCATTTCCCAAGCGACTCTGGGTTGTATCAAGTTGCCAGTAAAACTCAACAGGACAATAATTATTCACTGTTAAAAGGAGCAATGAGACTAGGGCACAAAGTCCTTAGGTGCACTGAAGTGCATAGTAATGAAGACTTATGTAATGGTCTAAAACTCAGGAGTCTGGAGAGCTATAATAAAGTAATATCCCAGCATTCAAAAGTCTACTGTTTCTTCTTTCTTGGGTAATGAGATAATGTCCTAAAAATATATTGAACACCCTAAAATACTGTAACAGTGTTTGTAGAATCCCTGATACTAATGCTGGCATGTCCAATAAGCCAGAGAATTTTGTATCCTAAATGGCCAGAATAGTGTCTGAAATGTAATTGGTCCTTCTTAAATAACTCATGAGTTAATGGGTGAAACAAAAAACATGCATTTCACTGACATTTTGAACTCTTGGTGGTATTTGTAGAATTGACTTGTATTTCATGCATTTTTTTTTCCTGGAAGTCTTTCCTTGATCTGGCCTGTGTTCTTCCAAATGGCACATAAGCAACAGTGTGGCTAGAGATTGCATGTGCGAATATGTACTTTGCCACACAAATGTAATAGTTTGTGAGTCCTTTAAACTTTACAGGGAGACAAAGTAGGATGGTAGAGATAATGTAAGCTTTGGAGCAAGACAAATCTCAGTTTAAAATGAGCCACCAGTTCTCTGGGCATCAGTGTTTTCATGTATAATAAAAGATAAGCATCTCAGTACACATGGTATAGGAAGATTTAACTGAGAAAATTATTTGAAAGAACTTAGGACAATGTTTGGAACATAAGAAATAAAAGAAGGCTGAAAAGATGTCTCAATAGTTAAGAGCACTAACTGTTCTTCCAAAGGACCTGGGTTCGATTCTCAGCACCCACATGGCAGGACACAAGTGTCTGTAACCCCAGCTGTAGGAGATCTGACACCCTCATACAGATATACATGAAGTCAAAACACCAATTCACATAAAGATAAACACATTTTATTAAAAAAAAGGAAATAAGTAAGAACTATTATCCTAATAAAGAAGGCATTATTCTATTCTCTGAAGGAGAGCTTCAAGTCATATGAAGGGAACTACCCATTATAGGTATCAGGCACCTTTGTACTGGTCTCAGAAAGTTCAAGAAGATTTATGTTTGCTTCCTGTAACATTTTGCTCAAATTCATACTCCCAGTAAAGACTAAATGGTATCCCCTATTTACAACTGCACACTCCATTCCCTCTTTTCGACTTTTCACTTAGCACTTACTACCTTTCAATGTGTAACTTGCCCTCACACAACATAGGTTACAGGAGGGCTTCACAAATGAGTTATCATAGTTGTGTTTACAGCCAATTTCAAGGTCCTCCCTCTCAGCTGGCTTCACATATCCATTGCTTCCTTAGTGGGGTGTTCATCCTCTCCTGGCCCCTCCTCTTCTTTTGTTTCCATTAAAATTGATGTCATGGGCTTTTGGGTTCCAATTCGTTTTTTTCTACCACATTTTTAAAAGGCATTAAAATGGGGTGCCTACACTGCTTCTGTATGTTCTGGGTGACCCTCTACCAGCCTGTCCCTTATACCAGAGAATTCATGTGTGTTTTAACAGTATGGTTCTGAGAAAATTTCCATGCAACAAGATGAAACTTTTTCTCACAATTTTCTTTATTCTTGCCTCAATGCAAAAGTCTTTTTCATATTGTTGTCTGTCATACTGCCAACTGTATTCATTTTGTGTTGGGTTTTTTGAACGATCTCTTTAACGTTTACTTCGTGCTAAACAGAAACTAATTCCTGATGTTGTACGGAACATTTTGCTATGGAATTAGCTTACAAGTTCCCTGACCCATACATGCTCTCTATGCCCCGTGCCGAGGCCAGAGGAAGATTAAAATAGCCTATTTATTTCCTGGAAGGGCCATGTCATTGAGGCATGCCTCAAGCCAATAGTCTCAGGGAAGCATGACTGCCAAAGAAACCTGGTGAAATGGGGGAGGAGTAAAGGTTCATAGGATTCAATTTCCAATTCCAAAAATAACCTTGAGCACTCCTGACACTTCCAAATCAGGTTCTGCACGGTCCTTTCCAGTGGCAGCATGCTGCGTCTCTCCCACAGGGCCCCTGAGGAGACATGGACGACGCCCCTACCTCCTCAAGGAAACTCCCCAGAGAGTGTGGGAACAACTGAATTGAGGGTGTGTGTGTGCAAGATGCCTTTTCACCCCTTCCTTCTCAATTTCCCCCTTCTTTGTTTTTTTCTTCTTTCCTCTCTGTCTCCAGTTCTTGGAAGGGCCTACACAGTACTCTACAAACGTCAATAACTGAGTAACTTTCACCTTGCCCCTTCCCCCACCATACCACATCCCAGTCTCACCAGTCCTCTCTCTGTTTTCCCCCCAGTACTCTACCTTGAAGATCACTTAACACGTTTGGGCTTATCATTAAGGTATCATACTGTTTTAAAATGAAAACCAGTTTTCTTGTTATAAATAGAAGGCACCTTTATACTGTAATGGAAAGAATAGAAATAGAATTTTAGATAGATATGGCTGCTTGCTTCAGATCTTGTGCCCAAATATTGCTGGTTAGGATTGTTGGGAAGGTGTTAAAGATTCGTTGGTTTCAACATGAGATCTGATCTTTGAAATGGATATGAAGAGGAACAAAAGGAGGGCAATTTCTTTTTTTCTTTTATTTATTTATTCGTTTGTTTGCTCCTATATCTACCTGTTGTTTATGGATTGTGAGACTCTGCTTCGTGTTTTGGAATCACGGAAACGTTTTGTTTATGAAATCTGATAGGCTTCATCATGTTTCCTTCAAGAAGTGAATACCCTACTTGATAATTGTACTCAAAACCTTTTTTTCATTGTTTGACCAGCTGTTAGAGAATTGTTGGGATTAAGGACGATTTGGTCAAGGACATAAAGAACTAGTCTAATGTTCTGGTCCCCTCAGCTCCAAGACCAAGCTGTCTCACTGAAAGGTTGCCTCAAAGGGCCTCTAGACCAACTTCTTGCCTCCTGTGTTTACCGCGGTTGCCATAGCAGCGGCTAACGTCCACCCCTTCTCCCGCCTCACCTTCGTGACGTCACAGGGACACAGCCAATGGGAAAGCAGCCAGGCGTCAGGCCCCGCCTTAGTCGCAGGCACGGCTTTTGCCGTGGCCAGACGCGCGAAGCGAGCGGTGGAGCAGGCCGGTGGCGGCGCGGCCAGCTGCGCCCATTTCCACCCGCGCCAGCCGCCAGCTGCAGAGTCACGATGTTCCGCATGCTGAGCAGCAGCTTTGAGGATGACCCCTTCTTCGCGTGAGTGTCCCCGCCGCGCTCGCCAGGCCCGGCAGGTTGTGGGGGGGACGCCCGGCGGGAGGCGTGCAGAAATGGGGGTGCGAGGTGGCCGAGGTGAAAAGGGGGTGAGGAGAGGTGGGAGTGAGGAGAAGTGGCTGTGGGGAGAGTAGAGGACGTGAGAAGTGGGGACAGGAGCTGAAGGGATTTGGGGGTCATTAGGTGAAGCGATCAGGATATGGGGCGTGAGAGACTTTGAGGGAATACGGCAAGGAGAAGTGGAGGGCACGAGAGAGGGTGAGCTGAGCAGGGTTGGGAGAGGGGGTGTGAGCAGGCTTTAGGGGCCTGATACGAACAGAGTTTGGTGGTGGGAGGTGAGGACTAGGATCCTGAGCTCCAGGCTGCTGGCGATTTGGAGAGACTGAACGGGTGTGCACACTGTGCGCGCGCGTGCGGGGGAGGGGGGTCTCGAATCTGAAGCCCTCCTGTGCAGCAGCAGGGCTTAGCTAGTGACCATAACTGCCATCTTGGTGGAACTTCTAGTGAGAATTAGTCACTTTAATTTCAGATAGGGCCGGGGAGTGCTTTACAGGGTGACAGTTCCTTGAGAAACAGGTGGGAAGTTTTTATTATTATTATTATTATTATTATTATTATTATTATTCCTTATTTTGTTTTGCTTGAGACAGATCTCACTAGACCTTACTGGCCTGGAACTCGGTGTAGACCAGGCTGTCCTCGGACTCAGAGAAATCCACCTGCCTTTCTCCTCCTGATCGCTGCGATTAAAGGCATCTGCTAGCAAAACCTAAAAAAAACCAAAAGCCTATAAAGCAAGTTTCCATAGAGTGAAGGCTGTCACCTTGACAGCGCTGCCACGTAGGAGAGTTGTGAGGCCTGCTTCCAAGTGGTTGGACAGTTGCCATGCGACACAGTTTGTTTTCTTTGCCTGCTTTATCAACAGAGCTGGCCTTGTTTGAGAAGGGACTTCTCGTTTTATCAATGAAAAAAAAATGGGGCAGGAACAAAGAAATGGTGTGTGCAATGAACACCTTAGGCGACTTGGAATGGCGAATGGTCCCCAGTGACATTCGGGAATAGGTTTCACTATTATCTAGTTTTCTGTGGTATTTGAGCTTATTTTATATATATATACCTAGTTATAGCAAAATGAGTAATGCCTTAATTAAATGTAACTTGATATGTAATTAATATCTTTATTTAAAAAAAAAAAGTCTAACAGTTGTAATTGAAACTGTTGGATGACCCTCTGAGCAAAGGCAGGGAACCCAAGATTTGAGGTCAAAAATAGTAACAGATCACAAACAGGCATACATATAAAAAAGCACCCTTCCTCCATGCTTAGCATGGAAAAGACCATCAGTCACACTCTTGAAAACTTTTTAGCCACCGTCAGATCAAAGCAATCATTATCAAAAATATAAGGCAAATTGTAGTAATTGACTATAATACTGATTCATGCTTATAGTTTATTCTCTATATCCATTATACATAGAGTAAACAAACACATCTGGGGGTAAAGAAGTTAAATTTTATATTTTAGGTAATCTGTCCTTTGGCCCACCCCTCTTATTCCAGTCCTAACAAAATGAGTATTCATTTAATATAAATTAAAACATTCATTAAGGTGACAAACATACTTGACTATCTACTGACATTGGGAATGTAAAAGGGAAGTAGAACACACTGAGCATGCTCAACGTTTTTATATAAAGATTGTACCTGATGCTGGGTTTGTACCTCCTGGTAATTGGTTTCTTTAATGGTTAGTTTAACTTAAAAAATATTCAGTAAACATCGCTTAAGAGTGATCTAGTATCCTTAATGATTCATCAAGCAGTTTACGCATAGAATTTCATAATTGCTGATAGTAATTACTATTTTCATTAATTACCATTGTTGATGTTGGAATTGCCTAGACTATTACTCTTTTAAATTTTTTTATTTTTCTTTTTAAAATAAACTTTATTATAAAAAAGACAAGTAAATAAAACATCATATACCAAAATTAACTAGACCCATGGATCTTACAGATATCACTGAAGTATAGGATGATTAAAAAAACAGCCTTCTGGTAAAGGTTTTGGGGAAATGTCCCAAAGCATACATAAACTGAAAACGACTTAAAAGATGAGAAAAGGAAAAGAAAATTCTACCCAGAGCTGAAGCTTCTTATGCTCCTTGCAAAGCAGCCAAAGCTATTAGAAGACTCAAAAGTCTTTCTAGCTAAAAATGAAGGACAGAGCTCAGTACCACTATAGTCACTGAAAAGGGGAGCTGGGGAAGACGACATAGGGAGAACCAGACAGCTTTCCTGTGGATAAATTCTGCACAAATCTGTATTAGGATTAACCACCTGTGCATTAATAGACTCAGCAGCTTACTGAAGAGGATGCAAGAATCGAGGAAGATTTAATCTTCCATTTAAGACCCAGAATTTGAATTCTAAGGCAATCACATTAATTACCTCCTTAGGAAAAATTCACCATTCCTGAAGAATATAACAAAATTCAGAACCTCTATAACATAGTAGCTATATTCTGTACATTGAGTTCAAAATTAACAAAAAATAGGACTCATTCTCTATATAAAAGACTTAACTGGAAGTTTCCCAGATATTAGAATTAGTGGGAAAAAAAATTTAAAGCAGATATAATTTTGCCCCACATGTGAAGGAAAATATGATTGAAATGAAGGAAAATCCATATCAACGAATGAAGTGAAATTTTATATGTAATATATCTATTGTATAATAGATATATTATATAATATAAATAAATGTATGTTGCATGTATTATATATCTGATAGAAATTCTAGAACTGAAAATTATATTTGAAAGAAAAAAATTGACTGGGTAGTCTTAGTAGCAGAATGGAGATAACAGAACAGTCATTAAAATTGCATAAAGACAGAGAATCAAGTGTGGTAGTGAATGCTTTTAATCAAGTCACTCTGGAGGTAGAGGCCTACATACTCCAGGCCAGCCCGGACTACATAGTGAGACCCTATATATAAGAGAAAGACATGAAGAGAAAAAGAGATATAAAGAGAAAAGTCTCCCCTTGAATTATAACAAAAAATAATAATTACAATTCAGCCTTAGAGCAGAGATAATGTTGGCATTGGGCTGGATATTTCTGTGGATGTTGATGCTTTAGAACCATTTTAGTTTTTGTTATAATTCCATTCTTTAATAAAGAATTCACTTAATCATTTATAAACATGTCAGCATACACCAATGGCAGTTTAATATCAATCTATGTTTACAGCATTTCAATTTTCTGGAACCATTTTATGCAGACTTGGCAGAAATTGATGGGTTTTTTGAAATTAAATAATGCTATTTTAGAACATGTCTGTTGTAGGCAGAATAATGGTTCCTATAAAGATAACCATATTCTAATTCCCAGAATTCATGAATATGTTATTCTTGCTGGTCAGAAGTTCCATAGGCATCTTCCTGTTTCAGCTGCCCTCTAGTTTAAGATCTGATCCTTGAAATATATGTTAATTATCTATTGCTGCAATAGCTTATGGAATTTAGAATATATCACATCTTCTGTTGATGAAGAAGCTTAGTTGAGTAGTTTTAAATCAAACCTTGGGAGGCTACAATCAAGTTTATTGAACCTGAGGTATTGTCTAAATGAGCATCCATTTTCAAAATCATTTCCATGGCTGTTACCCAGTTTAGAAAATGTGCTTCTAAGTTCCCCCAAGCCTTTCCAGCTATTGTGTATTAGAGAGCACCTAAGACAAAATTCATAGTCTTTGAAAGATGTGAATTTGAATGTGATATCCTATTACTTCATTACACCAATTTTTTAAAAAAATGTCCAGAAGTTCATCTCATGTTCAAGGGCAGAAGAGGTTACTTGATGGCATAGCAGGGATATAGCACCACTGAATACCATTGGAATGGTTGTCCATCACATATTTAAACAAGCGAATCCCATTGTACACTATCATCAAATTATATTTCTAACATAATTAAGTTTTAAACAGAGATGAAAGAAAAGACAAGGAAATTGTTATAAATAGACTAAGCTCAACAAAGTTGTAATCGGCATTGAAACCTGGACACCTGGAATGGGAGTATAGCACAGTTGGTAACATGCTTACATGAAACCCTGGATTTGATCCCCAACACCACATAGTGTCAGATGCCCATAATCCTAACTCTCTGGATGTAGAGGTAGGGAGATCAGAACTTCAAGGCCATTCTCAACTATATTGTGATTTCAAGGCCAGCCAGCCTCAGCTGCATGAGACCTATCTCAAAACAAATTGAAGATAAAAATATAGACCTCAACCTTGAAATAACAAAGACTTATAGCTATGTAGTTGATATTTTAAGATGAAAAAACAAAGGGTTTTAAATATATATATAAAGAACAATCAACAACAAAAGACAAACATCTTAAAATGTGATAAATATTTGTGTACTCATTTTGATCACTTGTAAATGACAAATAGAAAATAAAGTCACAATGACATGATACTGCTATTCAAATAATTTAAATTGAAAAAACTAACAATAACAAATTTCAGGAAGAATACAGTACTAAAAGAGCTCCTAGTACACAACTTTTATAAAGTTAACATGCTCTTACTATACAGTTGAGCAGCTGTACTTAGATTTACTCAGAAGAAATGAAACTTTATGTGCACAAAGCCTAGTACCTGAATACTTGTAAAAGCCTTATTTATAAAGACAAAAACCTAGAAATAGTTTTGTGATTATATTATGATATAATGATACACACGCACACGCACACATATATAACCAAATCTAGCGTTAGTTAATATTTGTTGAATAGAGCAGCAGGGATAAATTACAAAAGCATTATTCTAAGAGAAGTTAGTGTAAAAGATGACAGACACTATATTGTTGCATTATGTGAGATTCTGAAAAAGGCAAAACTATACTGATAAAGCTGTGATGGTTGACTTGATTGCCACCTTGACTTCATTTAGAAGTGCCTGATTAGTAAAGCACACGTTTGATGTCTGTGAGAACTTTCTGAAGAGATTTACCTGAGGTGAAAGACCCACTGTGGATATGATTGGCACCATCACAACAGGCTGGAGGCCCAGATAGAGTACACGAGAGAAGAAAGAGAGCTCACGGAAAGGATATCCTCCCTCCTTGCTAACCACTTTGACGTGAGCAGCTCTCCTGCATTTTGCCCTTCTCTGCTGTGGTAGACTGAAACCTTAGAAGTTATGATCAAATTGAATCCTTTAAGTTTTTTCTGTGAGCTATTTCATCACAGTTTATTAATGGGGTAAATAGAACTTGGGGAGATGATTTTCTGAAAAGGCTCAAAACAACTTTTGGGGTAATAAAATTGTTGTATATCATAATTGTTCTTAGACTATACGTAATTGTTCTTAAACTGAGTGTAAGTTATTCCCAAACAAAGCTGAATTAAACAAAGCAAAAAACATGTATGTACACCAAACGCAAATCCAGTTAAGCATTTGCTTAATTCTAAAGCAATCACATTGGAAGCAGTTGAGCTTTTTAGAAACTTTTTGAGGGAGAAGAGGGCAGTAGAAAAAAAATGCAGACATGGTTTGCTATAATCTTTTGGGGAATAAGCTATAGGAAGTTAACATACAGCTATGAGAAGGGATGGGTGACTGACAAAAAAAAATCATAGTTTTAATAGTAAAGTGTAATAAGAAAATTAACAGCAGAACAAGAGAAAACTCAGGGTGTACCTAGAAGGATTATCTGTTAGGGGTACGATCTCCTCACATTGAAGGGGAGTGCCAGTAGTATTACTCGGAAATGTGCCTTGCATCTGGGAGACCAGGAAGGAATGATTCAGTCAGGGCTGGAAACAGCAAGCAGTCGAGAAACCATAATCAGACTACTTTAATCCAGTTCTCTCCAGTTCACTTCCATTCCTACTCTATTTAATGCCCAGCGCAAGTTTAACTGTTTACATTTTCTCATTTTTCTTTTCTTCTTTCTGTTCTCTTTTCTTTTCTTTTCTTTTTCTTTTTCTTTGCTTTTTTTTTTTTTTGGTTCTAATCCAATTTCTTGAATGAGTTCCAAGAGAATACAAACAGCTTCATGAAATGAGGTTAATATGAGATATGAAGATAGAATTCAGTAAATTCAATTTAAAATGTTGGAGGTGAAATATTCACTGAGTCAAATATAAAGCTCAGTGAAAAGCTTTGTCAATAGAATGGGTCAAGGGGAAGAGGGATTAGAGCTTTAAGGCAAGGTGGGTAAATGGGAACATTCAGTTACAAGAAAAAATTAATAAGAAAATAGGCAGAATATATAAGAATATAAGGTTTAGTAGAGGCTGGGTGCTGTGACTCACACCTATAATTCCAGGACTTGGGGAGGGAGAGGCAAGAGGATCTTTGAGTTCGAGACCAGCCTGGTCTACACAATGAGTCCAGGACAGCCAAGGCTACACAGAGAAACCCTGTCTTAAAAAACAACAACAACAACAAAAATCTAGGGGACACCATGAACAGGTCAAACCTATGAATCATGGATATAGAACAGTTCATGTTAAAAGCATGAAAAGATTTGTTTGTTTGTTTGTTTGTTTGTTTCTTTTGTTGTTGTTGTTTTTTAAGACAGGGTTTCTCTGTGTAACAGAGCCCTGGCTGTCCTGGACTCATTTCATAGACCAGGTTGTAAAAAACATTTTTAGTAAAATCTGAATTGAAAATTCCCCAGTTCTAGGGAAAGAAATGTTTATCTAGGAACAAGAGGTATTTAGGTTTTTCAACCCAGTGAGACCAGAAAAAAACAAAACAAAACAAAAACCTCCTCACACCAAGTAGTTAAAAAATTAAATATGTGGAAAGTAAAGAAAGTATACCTAAAGTTATAAAAAAGAAACACTAGTCATATATAAAGACAATCTTATCAGAATAAAATTCCAAGAAAAACTCTTAAGAGCCAGGCAAGCTTGGAATGATGAAATTAACGCTCTGAAAGATAAATCAGTCCATGTAACTATAGCCAACAAAACTATGTCATAATGGAAAGAGAAAGAAGCTTTCCATAATATAAACTAATATAAGGAATTGATGAAAACCAAGCCAACTCTTTAGATACTTAAATCATTCAGACTAAAGAGAAAGATGAACATTCACAAGTCTATAGGAAAGGATAACTGTGCTGAAACAATAGTTAAATAAATTAGATATAAGAAAATATTAAGCCTGACAAAATTAACAAATACATGCCTTTCAGTATTAATGGTCAGTATTAAAGACAGATCAACACTTTGTAATCTTTCTACTCATTGCCTTCAAGAAATGCTCTTAACCACCAAAGACCACGAGATCCTAACATATAGCTGCAGAATATATATATTTCTCAGCAACCCATGGGCCCTTCTTTAAAAGAGATTTTAGAATAGGACCTAAATCAAGTCCTAGAAGATACAGGAAATTGGAACAGTTATTTTGTCTCTGGCCACAATGGAATAAAAATAGAAACCCACAGAAGAGAAACTGTAGTACATATACAAACTCAGGAAGATTGAACACAGACTGTTGAATGATTAATGGATCATTGAAGAACTCAAGAGGGGAATTTTACGAATCCTATAGCCAAAAGAATATGAAAACACTACATACCAGTACATATTAGTTGCAAAGAAAGCTACAAGAGGGTAGTTTATAGTTACAAATGCTTACATTAAAGAAATAGGTCTCAGATAGCTTAATGATACACTATATGACCTTGGAAAAACAAAAACAATCTAAACCTAAAATTAGTGGATAGAAAAATACCATGGCAGAAATTAATAAAGTAAAAATGAAAAAAAATTAAAGAAACATTGAGTTCTTTAAAAAAAAAAAAAAGGTTTGCCTGAGACACTGAGGATAGAGAGCCAAGCAAGTGGTAACCAGCCACATACAGAATTAGAATAGGATATACGAGATATAAGTTATGAGCAAGTCAGGGAGTATGCCTACGTATATTGGTGTAGGCTTTTGTAAATATATTAAAAAAAAAAGATTAACAAACCCTCAGCCAAACTAACCAATGAAAATGGGAGACACAAATTAATGAAATTAGTGATGAAAAAACATCACAATAGATAACAATGAAATTCTGAAGAAAGTTAGGCTGTACCTCAAAGAATCATTTCTGCTGAATTAGAAAGTCACATAAAATGGATTAATTTATTGATGCAGATGACCTATAAAACCAAGGTGAAATAAATAATTTAAATAGATCTATAACAAGTACTGAGATTGAAACAGTAATAAAAAAAAAAAAATCTTCACACTAAAAGCCAGAATCTGGAAACAACCTAAATGTCAGTCAACCAAGGAATGGATAAAGAAATTGTGGTACATTTACACAATGGAATATTATTCATCAATTAAAAACAAGGAAATCATGAAATTTGCAGGCAAATGGATGGAACTAGAAACGATCATTCTGAGTGAGGTAACCCAGAAGCAGAAAGACACACATGATATATACTCACTTATAAGTGGATATTAGCCATATAATATAGGATAAAAATTCTAAAATCTATAGTCCTAAAGAAGATAAGCAATGAGGACCCAAGGAAAGAGGCTTAGTCCTCTCTCAGAAGGGCAGACAGCATAGACATCAGAAGTAGAAGACAGGAAACAAAACAGGAGCCTAGCACAGAGGGCCTCTGAAAGACTCTACCCATCAGGGTATCGAAGCAGATCCTGAGATTCACAGCCAAACTTTGGGCAGAATGCAGGGAATCTTATGGAAGAAGGGGGACTTGGAGGGGGTAGGAGCTCCAAACGGAGACAAACAGAGCCAAAGTATCTGGACTCAGGGGGCTCTGCAGAGACTAATGAATCAACCAAGGGCCATGAATAGAGAGGACTTAAGACTTCCTGCTCAGATGTAACCCATAGGCAGCTCAGTCTTCATGGGGGTTCCCTAGTAAGGGGAGCAAGGGCAGTCACTGGCATGAACTTGGTTGCCTGCTCTTTGATCAACTCCTGGCTTTGACTATACAGATATAGTCTGTACTTTTATGGTGTTCATAAACATAACTGTGGTTCTCAATGCTTGTATTTTACGATATACTCTCAATCAGGAAAGTTAAAAATAAGCAGTGTTCTTTTTATGTTAAGATTTCTGGGGTTGGGGATTCAGGAGCCTGCAGAAGCCTGAAGAAGGTGTTGGATCCCCTAGAGCTACAGTGAGAAGCAGTTGTGAGTCTTCTGGGGGTACTGGGGACCAAACCCTGGCCCTCTGGAAGAACAGCAAGCACTCTTAATCACTGAGCTATCTATCTTTCCAGCCTAAACCGGTACGATTGTATTTTAGTAGTGCTCTTTTCCAGACTTATTTGTGCACATTCAATTTAAAAAGACAATATTTATAGGTTTTTGGTGCCCATATTTAGCATGGAATATTCTTTTATATTCTCCAGTGCCCATATTTTGCATGGAATATTCTTCTATAGAGTTATATTGTAAATGTCCGAAAGTGGTCTTACCTGGTATTTTCAGTTTTCCTCACCTTAAACTACTTGTGATATGGTAATGTGCATTTACCAAATGTATACAACATGAAATAAAAGTATATTTTATTAGTGTAATAAATATAGTAGATAGCAAATAGGATAGGATTTTATTAATATTTATGATTATATTTATAAATACTAGGTCTTTTATCAAATAATCCTCTTCTCCTAAATTGTAATATTTTGTCTCCTTAATTATATTAGCGCCTGAGTTTCTTTGTAGTAGTTATATGCTAGTTTTCTTAAATTATTAACATTTAATTTTCCATTTTTCTGTGGTTTCAACAGTGATTCTTTTCTTGCACACCGAGAAAGTATGCGCCACATGATGAGAAGTTTCTCTGAACCTTTTGGAAGAGACTTGCTCAGTATCTCTGATAGTAGAGGAAGAATCCATAATCATAGAGAACATGATGGTGATGAAGATTCCTTAATGGTAAGTTAAAGACAAGTAGCAAGAAAGCTTTGTAGGAACATGATAAAAATGCTATAAAAGTTACGTACTGATAGGGTGTGGCTAATACTTCTATCATGGAAGTATTTATTATATAAAAAGGGAGGCATTTTGCAAAGGTAAAAATGAATTGTTAATGGTGCAGAATTGCACTGTGTTCCTAAAACTTTTAGGATCATATGATTATACAATTACTAGCAATTGTTTCTTGTATATATCTTTCCTAATAACTTCCCCCATGTGTTAAAAAACCCACAAGAACTCCTGGTACCATATATTTAAAATGTTTAAATAGCTACAAAATAAATAAGTGAAGTGGGAAGATAATTCTGTATAAAGAGAAAGTACAAAACCAGCATTTAAATGAAAATCTAAAATCATTGGCCCCTTGCTTTCATGTGTAGTTGGGCAGCTATAACAAATTTCTTCAGGCTGAATAGCTTTTAGAGATCAGACATTTATTTCTCAAAGTACCATGGGCTGAGAAATTTGCTACATTTGATTATGCTAGGAACCAAACTCAGGGCCTTGTGTATGTTATGTAGGTAATCACTCTACCAACTGAACTACGCCTCTTACTCTGGTCTGTGTTTTCCTTATGGGGACATTTTTGAGCCTAATTGCTTATTTTGTAATAATTATTATTTAAAGCTAGATAAGTTATCTGGACATGGTGGCACAAACTAGTAGTCCCATCACTTTAGAGATGGACACAGGAAATAGCAGTTCAAGTTTTTCTTTAGCTAACGTAATAAGTCCATCCTCAGCTACCTAAGTCCCCATCTGTCCTTGGTTAGTTTTATGTCAACACAGGCTAGAATTTTCAATTGGGAAAATGCCTCCAGAAGATCCAGCTGTAATGCATTTTCTTAATGATTGATAGGGGAGAGCCCCGCCCATTGTAGGCGGTATTATTCCTTAGCTGGTGATCCTAGGCTATAGAAGAAAGCAGACTGAGCAAGCCATGAAGAGCAAGCCAGTCAGCAGCACCCCTCCACAGCCTCTGTATTATCTCCTGCCTTCAGGTTCCTGCCTTGTTTGAGTTCTTGTCCTGATTTCCATTGATGATGAACACTGATTTGGAAGCTTACACCAAATAAACCATTTTCTTCCCGAGTAGTAACCCTAACACAAACAAACAAACATAAAAGCTGGATAATATAATATTTAACCTTGCTAGTTACCCTTATAACTCAGGATACAACCTGTGGACTAGGTGACATGCATCTAATCTATTCTTTAAATACAAAGAAATAAAAATAAGAGTTGTATTGGTACATCCAACATGTTTCTGGTCTAAACACACACAATTTTATAATTACCTTGTCTATAGTAATACTATAGTATAAGTGGTAAAACTTTGTATGTGTATATATGCATATTCTCTTTTAAAGCCCCAGGATCTTGCTATGTGTTCAGGATGGCATGGAATTCCCTCTGTGGTACAGTCTGGCTTTGGAACTGCAGTTCTTTCTGCCTCAGCCTCCCACCTGAATGCTGAGATTTGGAGCATGTACACGATGCCCAACTTACAATAATCCACTTTAACTCACAAAAGTCAAATTTTCTTACAGTACTCGAAGCCTCTAAGTAGTTGATATTTTCTTAACTTAAAACATATAATTGCATTTATTCATTTGAGGGAGGCTCAGAGGACATCTCATGGAAGTAAATTTCTTTCCTTCCATTGTATGGGTCCTGGAGACCAAACTCAAGTCATCAGGCTTTTTTATACAACTAAAATCTTTAATTTTTTATATGTTAAAAGTGCAATTTATGAGCTATTTGTTTTGCCTAACATAGACATGGGAGTATACATTAAAATATATATTTTAAAAAGACCTCTATTACCCTTTCTGAAACATAATTTTTTTTTTATTCTCTGAACTTATCTTTAAGAAGCATAAATTTTATCTATTATAGCTACTTATTTGGTAATGATAATGTGATTAAATTTTTTGTTTTAATTGGTTATGGCAGGAGTAGTGGATCTTTAGAAAATGGAATAGCAACAGAAAACACTTTATTCTTGTCATTAATAAGTTTTGAAATGTTTGCCTTAGTCTATAGCAAAGACCTTTTCTTTTAGTTGCCTTACTAAAATAATATGTTCAGAGTACTGTGGCTTCTATATTATCTGGTCAGGCAGATGCTACAATGCATAATAAACAGATAATTTAAAAATTACACATTGAGCCCTTTTTTATTAAACAGCTCTGTAATTATGGTACTTCTGAGCTACACTGTTAGGCAGTGCACTTTTATATTTTAGCTATGCCTATATAATATATGCAAACAAAATATATTATTTTTTTTAGACAACAAGTTCTTCTCTTGTACCTTTTGGAAGGTTTGGTGGAATGGTTCGTGTCATGAGACAAATTATTTTAGCTGTGTTTTTTAACAGATGCTTTTATTAACTAAAGCAGAGTGAGTTTGCATGCATCTCTCTAACTTCCATACTAGCTTTTAAGCTTTGTGCTGGAAATCTGTTACGTGTTTTAAGTTTATTCGAGTGCTTAGACGTGGGTTTTCTCAAGTAGCTACAGAGTTGTTAGGGTCAGAGCCTGGGCCTGCCAGCGCTAATAAGCCAGGCTTGCCCAATGAGCATCAGTATGCCCTTAAACAGACAAGTAATAGTGAGAAGCTGAAAAAGAAGAGGTGTGTTCAATGTTGCCACATTGGGAAGAACTCAGTGGTCCAGAGAAAGTCCTTCCCAAGTCCGTCTTCAGGGCCCTGTCATGGGATTTTGATGTAAATGAGGGAAGATGTGTGGAGATGTGGGCAGTCCTAGTCAATGTGTGGTCCCATCATCGTTTCCTCCCACTCTGTCCTGCAAAGTAATCTGACATTGTCACAGTCATATGACTTCTCTTCTGGGAGACAAATTCCCCACTGGCCAGCACCAGGCTTGAGCCCTTTCATTTTCACACCGTAATATTCCTGAGGAAAATCTAGTTTCTTGAGGCTTACTTCAGCAATCTAATAGCCAAAGAGAGGTTTATTAATACCTTTTTTTTTAAAGAATATTTTAATTTCTACCAATCAAAATTTCCTCTAGAAATGGAAAAATAGAGTTTGAGGGAACATTACTTAATTTTCAAAGAGAGGCGACCATTGTGTGTGGAAGCTGGACTTCCACATGCCTGGGAAGACTCTCCACTAGGTGAACAACGCACATGAGGAAACTCAGATTGACTGCTTTCTCTCCAGCTTTGCTGCCAAGGACACCTTGGTTTTTCTAAACAAACATGGTGACTTCGATCTGCCTTACTAGTTGCTAACACTGAATAGTAGTCCAAGGATTAGAACACACATAGTTTAGACTATTTGTATTTGTATTCTATGAAAAGCTTTTCATTTTTTTGCACTGAATTTGAGGTACTGGTGACTCTGAAGTTTGAGATGTAATATTTGTCCTTCCTGAGAAACTAGTGACAAAAAAAAAGCAGTCTATCTCAAAGATAGTAAAATTATAAGCAAGTTTGCACTGTGGTAGCACACAAACCCACAATTCAAAACTTGAGTGTAATGGGTGAAGATCAGTCAGAGGTGACTTTTTTATAAGGTACGTGTCTATGTGTGGGGGTTTTGTAACATGAATGCAGTACCCATAGGGGCAAAAGAGTGGGTGTCAGATACTTGAGAACTGTAGTTAGAGTTACAGGCAATCGCAAGCTGCTTGACTGCTGGAAGTTAAGCTCAGGTCCTATGACATCTGAGCCACCCACCTCTCCCCAGAGAAAATGAGCTGTTAGGACGAGTAAGAAACTAAGAGAAGCTTGGAGGAGAAAGGAGCTGAAAAATGATATGTGTATATTTATAAGTGTATTCACAAATGTGCGTTTGTGTACTATATGAACATAGGTTATAATTTTTGTATATATACATGTAGTGCTATAATTCTCTAATAATGTTGGCTGTTTGAGATTTTGCATAGGCTTCCTTTTTTTCTTTAACAAATAGTTCTAAAATTATTTTTGCCTAGTTGATTACTGCATGATTATCTCCCAGTAAATTAGGGGATCTTTTTCAACTGTTTTGGGAAGATTTGTTTGCTTTTTTTGGTGTTGCAATTAATGATATACCTCCTACTATCCTATAGCATGCAGACGTCAACCCTTTCCAGTCAGTGGATCGGATGATGTGTAATATGCGAAATGGCATACAAGACTTACAAAGAAACTTTGTAAGTACTAAAAATAAATTGATGAGAACATTATTTTCAATTATTGGTATCCTATACTGTATTGAATTTTGCACATCTTTAACCATTGTTAAAATAGCGAAAAAAGTGTTTTACATGATTTATACCTGAAACAAACATTTAAATGATTATATTTCATCAGTGTATTATAATGTTAGCTTGTTGTTATTTTCTATCTTATTCAATAAAAAACTTAAAATTATATCTCACTTATTCTACAAACTGCAAGTCTGAAAAGTTATTAGTTGACTTATACAATTAAAAAGTCCAATCTCCAAACATTTTTTAGTATTATAAAGAACATTTTCTATAAATTTGCATATTTTATTATTACCTATTTACTTCAGAAGTTGCATGCATGTTAGCAACTAAGTTTTAATATTAAAAATTCTCTGAAAACAGAAATGGTTTGGATGCTAGATTAAATCCATACACGCTAAGTATTTTAAATAAACACTAGTACACCTATTCTGCTGCTTAAAATAGTAGCATCAAAACAAGTAACTTGTGGGTACAGCCTTGCCAGGCCACAGAGAAAGATGATGCAGGCAGCCCTGATGAGACTTGATAGGCTAGGGTCAGACAGAAGGGGAGGAGGTCCTCCCCTATCAGTGGACTAAGGAAGAGGCATAGGGGAATAAGAGGGAGGATGGATGGGACTGGGAGGAGACAAGGGAGGGGTCTATACAGCCAGGATACAAAGTGAATAAATAGTAATTAATTAATTAATTTAAAAAACTATGTAACTTGGTTTGATCTGAAGGTGACCTATGTCTGTCATTCCAATATCTAATTAGAATTCTATGGGTCATTTAAGAATGCCCAAAATCTTGGACATTAGCAATGACTTTTAGAATGTATTAATCTGGTACCAAAGAAAGTATGAAGTTCCTATTACATACCTAATTCACTTGACCTTGGTTGGCAAGGCTGTACAATAGATAGCCTCTGCCTAAGAGACTCTAACATCTTTATTTAAATCTAAGTCATGTAGGCTCAGAGATTGTCCGAATCACTTGTTATTCTTTATATAAGAAATAGAAATTAGCACCAAAACTTGAAGTAAGTTAGGATACCAGGTTCCATTTGGATCAAGTATGTATCTAATATTGTTACTTCTTGGCATTAATTCTTCAATTTAACTAGAATCTTATTTATTTTTGTCTGTAGGGTCACCTTTCAATGGATCCAAATGGTCATTCATTTTGTTCTTCCTCTGTTATGACCTATTCCAAAGTAGGAGATGAACCACCAAAGGTTTTCCAGGCTGCAACTCAGACCCGCAGAGCTCCTGGAGGAGTAAGTTTTCATACTGTTTTTAGACCAGGTCTAGCTGTGTAGCCCCAGCTAGTCTCGCTTTGCAAGCCTGCCTCGGTCTTGCAAGTCTGGAATTGCTGGTATGAACTACCATGCCTGGCACTGAGTATTTTTTAAGCATTCTTAACACTTTATTAAGTTATAGAAAAAGTATATTGTCTTAACAGTGGCAGGGATGGGAGGGAGGCAAGATGATAAGGCACACATCACTGTGGAAACCATGACATCCAGTTGTGGTTACTTAGTGAAATTTTTTTCACCACCCATGAAGGTGACCTTCACACAAAGTGTAGACATTGATAAGATAGAAGCTATTATTTCATAAAATAAATGTCTTCTTATAGTTTATATGTGAAGTTAATTAGTAAGCTAATAAAATATTTTGAAGTGTTCAAAAAGGATGTATAAGAAACTTATATTCCTGCCACAAAGATTACTCAAATCAGCATTTTCTCTGTTTCTTTTAAGATAATTCTTTTTATTTTTTGAGCATAAGTGTAACAGATACAAATTTTCTAATGTGTTCTCTAGATCACTTTTTCTGTCACTTTCTCAGGAGACACCATTTTCTTATTTCTGGAGCTTATCATGCGCGTGCATTTTAATCCATTATATTAAAATACAACAGATGACTTTATCGGTTTCTAAGCTTTATACAGATAGTCATTATTGTACATGTCCTCTACAACTTGCCGCACTCAGCAGCATGTTCCAGAAATGTATTCAAGTTGTATGTGTAACCCATGTATCTTTATTTTTTTAATTTTAATTTGTGTTCTTTTGTTTGTTTTGAGATAGGGTCTTACTAGCACTGGCTGGCCTGGAGCTCATTATGCAGACTAGTCTGGCTTTGAACTCATAGGGCTTCACCTGCCTCTGCCTCCCAAGTGCACCACCACACCCAGCTTTTTATTTCTTTCCTTTTTAATTACTGTGTAGTACCCAGAATATAAACATAACAAAATTTTATCCATGATTTCTTGTATAAGAATCTAAATATAGTATTTCTGGGTTTTAGGGTATGTATACTCCTCACCTTTAAAATTACCGAGTTACTAACCCAAGATGAAAATTCTTGGCTTCTACAAACTGTGATGTGAAAATTTCCATTTCTCCATTGTCTTGTATGTTACAATAAGATCTTAGATTAACAGAATGAATGTAAAGTAATTCATTTTCAGTTCTGATGTGTGAACATACCTATGACTAGTATCTTTAGCAAATTCACTGTCATTTAACTTGGTGAACATAGTGAAGTCTTAAATTACACTAAGTATAATTTTGGGCTTTTTCTGTATTTTTAAAGATAAAAGAAACCAGAAGAGCAATGAGAGATTCTGACAGTGGACTAGAAAAAATGTCTGTTGGTCATCATATCCATGACCGAGCTCATGTCATTAAAAAGTCAAAGAACAACAAGACTGGAGATGAAGAGGTCAATCAAGAGTTCATCAATATGAACGAAAGTAAGTTATCACACTGAAAAAAATTCTCAAAAATTAAAATAGGAGCTGCATTTCTAGAACTTGATGCATTTTTATTTTTATTAAGATGGCTTATAAAGACTGTATAGGAAATTATTGTCAAAGTAATACAATTGTGATTCTGTTATCTAACAGATACATTTTTATGATAACTTTTGTTAATGTGAAGTATCATTCAGTTTTCTGATAAAATAAGATTTTGAGGTTTTTTTAGTAATATTATCAATGAGCAAAATGAGTTTAAATACTTTTATTGTCAAGAATCATACTTGAAAAGTTTAAAGGAACAAGTAAAAATCAATCATAACTTCAATCCCAAGATACCACTCAAGTTTTGATGAATTTCTTTTTAATAGCTTTCTGCATGTATAAACATTTTTTCAACTTCATTATTTTGCTGTTTTGTTCATACTATGCTCAGTCTAGCCCGCCATAATAACCGCAAAAGCCTATTATTTTCAAAAGTATCTAAGTGATTACTTAAAAGTTTCGTTTTAAATAGATCATAACTTCTACATTTTATATTGATAATTTTAATTTCTAGTATATATAAGACTAAGCAAATATTTGTTCTCTAGGTTTTATATTTATTCTTCAATTCATTTAAGCTCTTCTAGTGTCTAACTTTTCTTATTTTAAATTATATTAAAATTTCTAACATTATTAATTGACAAGGTATTTTGGCTAAAAAAATCAATAATCAAGCTTTTATGTTTTAATTAGAATTAAATTATTGAAGTGTCACTATATTTATTTCATATTTTCAGAAAAAGCTTCAATGTTTTATCATAATATTTAATAATACATTAAATGAATATACCATTTCAGAAAAATTACTTGAATTAGATAAAAATTGCTCTTATAGGTACTTACTATCACTAAACCTAACAACTCAACTTTAACCCCCAGGGTGCTACATGGTAGGAGGAGAGAACCTATTCTGAGCAGTTGTCCTCCAGCCTCCACAATGAAAAGTGTACATGCTAAGACTCGTGCCCAAACACACACAAATAGAAATAATAATTATAATACACAGCTTTTAAAGTATTCTTATGCCATAAAAGGAAAGCCAAATAACTTGAGCTTTTTTTTTTAACTATAATCATTGTGATCTTTTTAAGAGGTGTACTGAGTTGCCTTGAGAGATGGTTAGTCATTAAGAGCATGTACTGTTCTTACAGAGGACCTAGTTCAATTGCCACTGTCAGGATGCAGGGAGCAGAGGATGCCCTAAATGAGTGAAGTTGTAAATGAATGTATATCATTGATGTGGGCATAGCCATGACAAGGACCCAAGCCTCAGACCCATGAGAAATTGGCAAAGGCATTCCCCATCTGAGTCAGCCTAGGAATTGGCAGAGCCTCCTTCCTCTAGTCCAAGTGTGAATATTTACAGAGGATTGATCAGTGTACACAAAAACTAGCAACTTCAACTTCCTCTTCTTGGATGTTTTTACAGCTTTGGAATACTTGTCTGCAGAGACCTGTGGAAACCAGCCAACCCCTCCCACTGCACTGCTCACTGAAAGCAATGAGATTGGAGTTGTTTTTTAGGGGTAGCTGGTGCCACTCCCAACAGAGTGCTTTAACCCCCCTGACCCCAGCTTTTCTGTATGTGTTTCATGTCTTTATTTCCTTGCAGGCTCCAGTCAGGTTCCAGGGCCAGGCTGTGTGGTATGCATGCATCATCAGGTGCTCACAAGTACCTGTAACTAAAGCTCCAGAGATATGCCTCTGGCCTCCAAGGGCACCAGCACAAATACATATAATTTAAGAAGTAAATGATATATACATACATACATGTTTGTGTAGATGTACACTGAGTATTTTGTAATGATCAACATGCTGGAAAATTACACTATTTTTCTAAAGGCATCTAAAAGGCATCTGTTTCTAAGGGGGTCGGTGTACCTACTTCACGACATTGAAAGTTGGTAGTGTTGGGAAATTGACAACAAACTTAAGTCATTAGGAACATGAAATGCTGAATGAAAATTCAAGGCACTTTACAGAAGCTTTTCTGTAAAGTATAGACAAGATAGACATCAGAAGTAGGAGAAGACAAGAAACAGGACAGAGCCTTTCACAGAGAACTTCTGAAAGACTCTACCTACCCACCAGGGTATAGAAGGAGATACTGAGACTCAAAGCCAAACTTTGGGCAGAGTGCCAGAATCCTTATGGAAGAAGAGGGAGATTGAAAGACCTGAAGGGGACAGGAGCTCCATAAGGAAAGCAACAAAGCCAGAAATCCTGGGCCCAGAGGGACCTGCAGAGACCAATACTCCAACCAAGGACTTTGCATGAGAGGACCTAGACCCTCTGTTCAAAGGAATCCCGTGGCTGCTCAATTTCCAAGTGGGTTCCCTAATAAGGGAGGCAGGGGCTGTCTCTAACATGAACTCAGTGGCTGGCTCTTTGATCCCCTCCCTCTGAGGGGTGCAGCCTTGCCAGGCCACAGAGGAAGATGATGCAGCCAGTCCTGATGAGACCTTGATAGGCTAGGGTTAGATAGAAGGGGAGGAGGTCCTCTCCTATCAGTGGACTAGGGAAAGGGCATAGGGGAAGAAGTGGGACTGGGAGGAGATGATGAAGGGGGCTGCAGCAGGGAGACAAAGTGAATAAATTGAAATAAATAAATAAATAAATGATTTTTTTTTTAAAAAAAAAATGCAAGCTACTGAAGGAATGTCCAAGAGCATAAAAGAATGTTATGGTCATTGTGAGTGAGTGATTCATGAGGAAATTTCATAAATGAGTATATCATGATCATCCAGTTCATGTAGATAATAGGACAATCAAGAAGGTAAGTGGAAAATCATACTGTCAGTAAACAGGTAATGATAGGAGAAAATTCAGAAGGAAACGCAGAAGTTTCTGCCTCTGTTGTAAGGTTTGGCTACAAGAAGTGTGTGATGGCCTACGGCAATACCAGTAGAAACCTAAGTGCTTGTTCTTTTATTTTGATCTTTAATATAGATGATGCTCATGCTTTTGATGATGAGTGGCAAAATGAAGTGTTGAAATACAGGCCTAATGGATGCTCATACAATCTAGAAAACAATAGAATGAGAAGCATGGGCCAAGACAATCCAGTATCACAGGAACGCAAAAGGAGGTAAAAGTTACTTGTAAAAGCAGTGCTGTTAAAGGAGATTTTAAAGTTATGTAACTTGGGTTGTGGAGATAAAGCTTTTTCCACATAATCAGTATGTTTAATCCTCAAAATCTATGTTGACAAAAGAAGGTATCCTGACATAGTATCATGCAACTGTAATCCCAATACCGAGGAGGAGGGGACGGTCCCTGAGTCTCACTGCCCAATTGGCCCAGCTTATCTTGTGAGTCAGAGCCTAAACAATGACAACAGAGCCAACATTTTTATGACCTATATAAATGCACACATGTGAACATGAACCTACCACACATAAGTACGCTCACCCACATACACAAACACGAATTATGTAACTTCTTATCAAATTCTTGAGAATATTCAAGTTGTATCTACAGTATCATTTATGAAAAAGTAACAACTTTATACTGAATCTAAATAGCCCTTATAAATAAAAAATTGTTTCTGAAAACCAACAAATATATTTTGGAACTGTGATTAATCATCAGAAAAAAAAAAGATGACAAGAATCCTAAGGAAGTTTTATATACTGTGATGTCTACTGTAAAACAATTCCTAATGTGGATGTTCAATGTCATCCACATTGCATAGGTTTAAGGTGTTTATAGAGACAGTATAAAGGGAAAGGTTTTATATTTAGAAAACTTAACTTCCTTACCAAGACAAAGTTCAGCATTTAGTTATAAATTAATTTTAAATACGTTCACAATATATAATAATATCATGTAAGTATTTAATGCAATGTGGTATGTAGATAAATTTTACACAAACTTTCATTTTCCTTGAAATTGCTTTTGGCATAACTGGAAAATTTTTGGTGAAACCACAAATTAAAATTTAGAGTGCTTTTATACATTTAGTACATAGCCTGAAGTTAATTCAAGTTTTGGGGAGAAACTTCAGGTTTCTTGAAACAGAAATCCATTTTAGGCTCTGAGAGAGTACAGGATTGGAGGTGGCCTTAGGGAACCAGCTCTGGACAAATGGACCTCAAGTAAATCAGAAGCTTTGTGCAGGATTCTGCATGCTGTCGTACTGTCTTTGAAGTTCTTGTTTAGGAATTTAGAGCCTGACTATTTTCTGTGAAATGGCTTAAAATTTTGCCTCTATCTTTTTGGAAATATTTGTCTCACCTTGAAAACATTAACATTGTGGTGCCTAACATTGCTAAGTTTAAACACAGTTTAAGAACATGTTAGAGAAAACATGTTCATTTCAAATGTTCTGTAAACCTATGGCCCTAGCAGCTGCATTTTTTCTTAGTTGTTCTGTCCAGTAGAATTTGCAGAAGTGAATTTCCACATGATAAATTGTGCTGGCCAACATATTAACTATTAAATATGTGTGACTATTGAATCTCTTTGACACTTGGGTGGCACAACTCAGGAGCTGAATTAAGTGTAAATTTCACTAGTGGCTATCTTTTTTTTTTTTTTTTTTAACACCATTTAAACTGCAAGTGATTCGGTACAGCTTAGGTAAAATAGCTCTACTTTCTTTTTGGTTTTTTGAGACAGGGTTTCTCTATGTAGCTTTGGCTGTCCTCAACTGGCTTTGTAGACCAGGCTGGCCTTGAACTCACAGAGATCCGCCTGCCTCTGCCTCCCCTAAGGCTGGGATTAAAGACTTGTGCCACCCTGCCCAGGTAGCTCTTACTTCATCTGTTCAATAAAATAGTTGTCTAGAGTTATTGAGGAACTTAAAAGCCACTTACTTGCATTGACTTATAGCCCACTGAGTATTTTTAAATGGTATTAATAGTTATATGTATATTTCTTAGAGAGAAAATTCATCGAAATTCGGCCATTGAAAGTGGAAGAAGACCAAACATGTTTGCGGACAAACTCAATGTCAAAGGATCACCTGCGAAAATCAACAAAAAATAAATAGCTGTGCATTTCATTTGTTTAGTTGGTTGTTTTAACAAAGAAAGTCATGGTGCTAGATAATATACAAAAGACCAAGCTCCTGTTGTTAAATCAATACTATCCTTTTCTTCTGGATCTGAATGTTCTTGTGGGTTTAACTTTACATTGTTCATACTTTAGGAATAAAAATTTGATGTTCAACAATGTCATTAAATTGGTAAACATTCTATATAAAACTCTTATATAATACAAACTTTAAAATAAACATGATTTTGCTTTCTCAATTATTTTTATATTGACTATATTATATAAAATAAAACTAAAATAATAGGTATTATGTACAGTATACACAAAAGTAAGATATTAAAACAACATGCATTGTGTCTGCTATCATCACAGTAGAGTGATGTAAACCAAACTAGTTTTCCCCAAATTTTATAATGTGCTATATAATTAGCTAGCTTAAAACCTGAAAATAATAGAATATGTCAGTGATCCAGGTATGGTAGCTCACACCTCTGATCCAAAAATCCCAGAGTGAGGCAGGAGAACTCTGAGTTTGAGGTCCTAAGCTATGAGAGACCATATCTCAAAAATAAATTATACACACACACACATACACTGTTCGTATTTTGTAAGAAGTTATTACTTTGAAAAAGAACAAGAATAATTAATTTTTAAGCAAATATTTTAAAATGCTAATGTTCATGAATTTTGTCATAATTTCTTCAGAGTCTAGGTTTGTTCCATATCAAATTCATACAATTTATCATTATTTAAATATACTTTCTCTTTACATTTTTAATGTTGCATATTTCTGTCTTGTCGTAGCTTAATGAGAAATTTCTTGTACATTTAGAAAAGTACAATTTTCTGGTCTGAAAACTAGAATAAATTTTCTCAAAATTTGTTAGCTGTATATTGCTCAGTAAGGTGTTTGTTAATAATTCAGTTGCTCCTCTTTTAGTTATACCATTTAAGAATTCAGTTAGCCTTTTTACTCTGGAATTCAAGCACCAATCCATCTTTATTCAAGTTGGGGGTAAAGTTCATAAGACTATAGAGATCTTAATTCTTAATTTTTATCAAGGAAAAAAATGATCAAAAAAATGCATCATTCTATAAACCTCAGTATTTTCTAAGGAGTAAACCTATGCTCATACTCCATTTGCTGACTATAATATATGTCTGTTAATTTTACTGATCTTTGTATTATGTCCTTAATTGATCATTATGATAAAAATGTGTTCCTTTAATAACTTAATTAATTGAGCATGTATTAGTTAAAATGGTCCTCTTATGAATGGTTTAATATACCAATAACATAACACTGGAACGTTTTCATATTGCAAATACATATTTTTACTTCATTTTATGTGTGTGTGCATGTATGTGCCAGTGCACAATTGTGTATGGGCTCATGTGCAAACATCTGCAGAGGCCATAGGATGCTCTCAGGTGTTGTTCCTCAGTTGCCGTCCACCTTACTTTTGAAACAAGTAGTGCTCACCTATTAAACTTAATTGTCTGGTCAGCCAGCCCTAAGAACTCACCCTTTTTATACAGGTACCAGGATCCAGCTCAGGCCCCTGTGCTCACAAGGCAAGCACTTTCCCAGTAAAATGCTTAATTTTAAACAATTCTCCTACATAATTTGACTTGATAAAGCAAAATCTCAAAAGACAACTTAATCTCCTTTTGCCTAAATCATTATACAGATAACTTTCAATCATTATATTCAAATCTGAAAACACTTTATTCACCTGTGCTTCATAGTGTAACTCCTTTAAATCATAGCAGTTACAGAATATATAGACACTTCCCTTTCAATCTGTCTTCTACAGGAATCAGATAAGTTTTAAAGTATGTGACTCCTAGCATCAGTGATTTTGTAGGGAACACATACAAATGATGTGTCATTTAGAGATGGCCACCTAGCACACTGCCTGTGGCCCAGTGTATAAGTTTTTCGAGGAATCTTACCTAGACCCTTACAAAGATAAAAGATCAAGGCACCAAATTCTGTTTACAAATAAGAGATGTGTCTTGATAATTTTTCCATGGGCATATATATTCTGTTGTAATTAACCTTTGAACCTGATGCCAATGTTCCTCATTCTCTTTTAACAGTCACTGATTTTTGTCTAGTCTGAGCCATGTGTTGAATGTAAAATCTTTCATAAAAGCCTGAAAACACATTTAGCAAAACCTCTTTAACCTTTTTACCTAAGATTTATGTGCATTAAATACCAGCTTAAATTGATGAAAGTAACTGAGACAGAAGTTTGCTTTAAAAATAAAGCTATTACCCTCCATTTGTAGGAATCAGCAGATTGTTTCCTTGATTAGTAGCAAATGATGGCTCAGCCTCAAAATGCACGTTGGAAATGCAGTAAAAGGAGGTAATTAGGCTTTGTGTGTTACATTGTTCATTTTTACTGGGATGAAAAGATTTTCTATGTTAATGCAAAAACAAATTTACCTCTAAAAGGAATAAGAGAAAGTTTATTCTGGTGCCATTTTTGAATGGCCATGAACCAGGAATACAAATCGATTACCATGCATGCCATGTTCCAACATGACAATATTTTCTGACGTTTTGTAATAACTGTACATAGGAAGTTATAAATTGCTGGGCAGGTGTGGCACCGCCTTTAATCCCAGCACTCAGGGAGGCAGAGGCAGCTGGATCTCTGAGTTTGAGACCAGCCTGATCTACAGAGTGAGTCCCAGGACAGTCAAGGCTACACAGAGAAACCCTTTCTGACAAAAAAAAAAAAAAGTTAAGTGATAAATCAAGTGTTTTCTAAATATATTGATGAGTTCATGGTATAGCAAAGCTGATAATATGCCTCAGATGTGATCAGATAACATTCTTGAAATTACAAAAAGATTTTTGGTTAATAATGACAAACCATGTATTGAATGCAAAATTGTTCATAAAAGCCTTAAAACACATTTAGCAAAATCTCTTTAACCTTTTTATCCAGGATGTGTGTGCATCAAATACCAGCTTAAATTAATGAAAGTAACTGAGACAGAAGTTTGCTTTAAAAATAAAGCTATTGCTTTATTTATTTAAATAAGGGAGCCATGAAAGTAAAAGGGAGACAGTTTTTGAAAAAGAAGAGTAACAGCATGGTCTGGTATCTTGTATTTGATTAGTTATTTTGCTCCTAGAGGTGTGGTTGCTTACTTTTACAAGCAGACATTCATGTACTCCAAAATGACGTTTGTAACCTTGTCTAAGAAATTATTCCTGATGAGCTAAATAAAAGGTGTGGGTACAGCTGGGCAGGGCGTAAGTGAGGGCGGAACTGAGGTTCGAAGGCTTTGGTGGAGGGGTGGAGGATCACAGGAGAAAGAGACAGGCACCTGAGGAGAAAGGAACAGACAGGAATGGGATAGGAAAGAACCATGTGGGCCAGGAGGAGGAACTCTGAAGTTCTGCCTGTAGAGAAGCAGCCCAGACGAAGAACATTAACAAGTATTTGGGAAGTAGTCCAGATAGAAACGATTAAAGCACATGGCATGGGATGGAGTCTGGGAGATAACAAGATAGCTTATGTGGAAATATCTGCCCAGCCCCAGGTAAAATAAGGCTTATTCTAAAATCTATCAGGTGTCTGTGTCTTTGTTGATTGTAATAGTGGGTTAGATGATACCACTATAATAACTATAAGCATTTAATAATAAAAAAAATTATTAGCCATTTTCTGCAACAGATGGAAATTGGGAGAGGAACCAGAGATAAATATGGTTTATTGGGAGATAAATATGATCAAAATATAATTGTTGATCCAAAAACCAACTCTCATCTCAAAAGAGATGAGATAATTTATTCTGGAGCCAAATGTGAGTAACTATTGCCTAGAAACACAGACTCAGGTTTCTCCAAATACTGTATTTCAACATGGTAATAACTTCATGAAGATTTATAAAGAGTAAAAAGAAACTCATAAGACTTTTAAAGTATGTCAGTGGAAACACTAGGTAGGTGGGTTACAGAAAAATGGAAACTTCTGAGTTAGACCTCAGATGCTGTCTGCTGACATTCTTAGCCTTTGGTTTATGAAAGTTAGTGGTCTCAAATTTATATATTCCAAAAGGTTTCACCAGATAGCCACAAGGATGTTAAGTCAGTGTCAAGCAAGGAATGGCTATTAGTGGCTAAAGGTAGCTCAGAATAAATTGTGGTTAGGCTCTGGACATTCTAAATCCTCCACAGACATTGAAGTTCTCAATAGTTAGTCAACCTTACAAAAGATTCAGTTTAAGATACAATTTTTATAACTAGGCCAAAGTCAAGATATTCTGGAGACCCTTGTGCCTATCGGACTACAGACTACTGAAATAATGGACTCCAAAGAAATGGGAATTTCCCCAGGAATCTCATGCTGGGAGAAGGAAAAGGTGCTAGCCACAGGAGGCAGTCCTCACAACTTACAAACCACCTTACAGGATGAGAGTAAAACCCAGAGGATGGGTCAGTTGCTGGTAGGACCACACTTTGACCAGGACTGGTGAGATGTGCATATCCTTGGTGCTCTTTTTCAAATGTCGACCTCACTTCAGTACCTTGAACATGAACCTGGGGGGTTCACTGGGCTTCTCTGTCCTGTTCTCCAGTGTGACCATGTTGAATGAATTTTTTTCTGCTTCTCACTTTTATTTTCACTCTTTTAATTGGCTTGTTAACATATGACTGGGCCGGGTTTGGGACAAAGTTTGTGACTGAATGAAAATGAGAACATTACCTCACCAGGTATGGCTGAGAAGTAGCTATGAGGGAGAGTAGAGGCAGGGGCATAAGGAAGGGCCCAGACTGAACATGGCCAGCAGAATGGACTGGGCTGGGGGGGGGGGGGCAGCAAGAAAGGAAGAGAAGAGAGGACAAGAGTGAGCTTGGGAACCAAGAGGCCAAGAGAGCTCATAGGAACTAAGAAAGCCCATAGCTAAAATGGCTGAGTTATCGAGGAATCAGAAGATGTGGGGAAAGAAGCGAAGCCTAACCAGGCTGGAGAGGTTTAGGTTAGGGGCTAGTTATGTTAGATTAGATTAGGCTGGGAGAAGCCACAGGTACTGAGTGAAATTTGTCCTAGCTTTCCTTGGGACCTGAAAGAGATACACCTCATCCCCAATATACATGTAAATTTATGCATACACTAAGTATGTATATAAACCACAAAGATGGGCAATGAATGGCTATTTGGCTCTAGACATGCAAAACAGTAACAGAAGTTTTAAATATACT